TTAAGGTGCCTAATATTTAAAGCCTAGATTGCCTTAAAGAGACTGTTGGTACAATTATGGATGTCAAAGGCAGTTCTGGTGAGGCTTAGAAGGAAGTGAGGAGAGCTATAAAGAAAGTCTTTATCATCTTAGAGAATACATATGGTGGACATTAAATTTGCTTCTGGGTCTGCATCCCACTTTGGGAGTGGCGTCTAGTGTCTTAAAAGCTGGCGAGCAGCCATCTAAGATGCATTAATTGGTCCCAACCCACGTGAAGCAAAAGAGAATGACAGAAAGGACCATATAAACCAGAGACTCCATCAGCTGAGACCAGAAGAACTCGATGATGCCCGGCTACCACCAGTGACCACCCTGACACTGAATACAACACAGTCCCTGGCAGAGCAGGAGAAAAGTGTGGTGGAGAACTCAAATTCACGTAAAAAGACCAGACTTAATAGTCTGACTGAGACTGGAGAAACCCTTGTATCCATGGCCCCCAGACACTCTGTCAACCCAGAACTAAACCCACTCCCAAAGCCCACTCTTCAGACGAAGATTAGACTGGACTATAAAACATAAAATAATACTCGTGAAGAGTGTGCTTCTTAGTTCAAGCAGATACACAAGACCAAATAGGCGGCTCCTGTCTGGAGGCAGGATGAGAAGGCAGAAAGGGACAGGAGCTGGTTGAATGGACATGGGAAACCTGGAAGTGGAAAGGGGGAGTGTGCTGTCACATTGTGGGGATTGTAACTAGTGTCACATAACAATATGTGTAAGAATTTTTGTATGAGAAATTAACTTGAGCTGTAAATTTTCACCTAAAGCACAATTAAAAGAAAAAAAGTGCTTCTGGTGAGGTTTTAAAAGAAAAGTATAAACATATGATTGAACAGTGGAGAAAGGGTGATGCTTCTTATGCAGTGGCAAAGAAATTGTCTGAATTATGTTCAAATGTTTGATGGAAGGTAGAACTTGTAAGTGATGAACTTGAATATCTGGCTGAGAAGATTTTGAAGCAAGATCTTAAAGGAGCTGTGCGGTTTCTCCTTACTGCTTAAGTAAAATGCAAGAGGAAAGAGATGGACTTAAAAATGAACTGTGGAAAATGAAAACAAAACTTGAACATCTGGAAAATTCTATTGTACAAACTAAGAACATGTGTCCTAGAATGTACACCCAGGATGTGGCTACACAA